AGAAGGGAGGAAGAAAGTGAAGGAGCACAGAGAAAGGCTGAGAACAAAAGAGAGAATGAGGGAGGGGGGGTGCACGTGCATCTGTGACTGTGTTTGATGTGGCTCTTTGCAGTAACATAGTCAAAATGATGGCTCTTAACCTCTGACTGGTTGGCCACCCCTGGTCTAGAGGATGAGGGTGAGTTGAGAAGCACCACAGTCTGAGGAAGAAAAGCAGTAGCTCCTCAGTAGATTGGTACCATTTATGTTTTAGGAGCTTTTAATCACGCGCCGCAAATCACTCCAGTCCTGTGGTGCGCAAATCACATGCCAGCTTGTTTATAGTCTAGTCGTTAGAGCTTTTGGAAAAAGGCCAGGGATGTTACCATGTAACTTTAGCCGGTTAGCTTTAACCCGCTGTGGATGTCAACAGTGGTCATTTCTCTAAATCAAAGAGAAGATACAGAAGTGATAAGCTCCACGGGAAACTTGGTCTCGAACACTATGGGGAACCACCTTTTTTATAGCCTTCCCTGTGGTTGTCTGCTAGCCACATGTCTTCGGTTGTTGAAGTGTCTCTCCCAATGTCTTCCGCTTTGCACCTTTGATGCCAGCATTCTGTTGGTGCTGGATCCATATCTTAAACACTGATGCCAGTCACTGATGATTCCTCAAGATTTATGAGGTTCTTGGGGTAGCGGCATCTCTGAAGTTGTGCCAACTAAAACAGTATAGTTCTGTAGCTTCATCTGTACATACATTAACAGTTTTCTCTGAAGATAAGTCCGCTGTGAGTGCTATGGCATCAGGATCAGAGACATTTGGTCTTAAGGAGGGGCAGGGGAGGAATTTGTAGCTGCAATGAAACATGGTCATTGTTTACTTATGCAAACATGGTATTGTTTACTCTGGTGCGGATGAGGACGTGCTTGTGGAATGAAATAAAACAATTCTCATGAGCAGTCTGATTTCCACTGTTAAGCGATTTTTTTCTCCAGAAAAACACATATTTTGCATTTACACCTCAAGGTTGGAGCAACGTACAGTATTCGACAGTATTTTGCTGTGAATCTGCAATAAATATAATAATTTTTCCATGTCCCATTACCTGAATTCTCCCCGAATTTCGTAGAAACCACCGAACACGGCCAAAAGCACAACACATTTCTTAGCTATAAAATACATTTGGATTCTGCTTTCTTGGCCAGCTCTCTCTACTCTCCGCTCACCCTCGCCCACCCCCCTGGAGTTCAATGACCGCATGGCGGCGACACGCAGGGTTGGCAGCATGTCCTTTACCCCCGCCCCTCAACGACGCCCACCAAAATCACCGAAGCAGAGATGCGCACCATCTCCCCCGTCTTCATCACAGCGCCTACGTCAACCACCTCCCCCCCCTGGTCAACCACCTCCCCTCCCTTCAAGAAAGCATCTGCAGTCTCCGAAGCCTGATAAGGATGTGTGTGTACAAAACACAACAAATTCTTACTGATATGTGCTGGGTCCAGGCTCAAGGGCGTATGGCACTCTCAACTCTTTCCAGGACATGTCGGGGCCCTGCCTGCCAGTAGCTTTGCCGATATCTGTGTTGATAGGTAATAGATTAAGAGCGGTGAATCATCTTAGAAACAGGAAGCGCTCAAACGTTTGTGTGAGTTTATCTAATTTAGCATTGATTCCATGTCAGCCACAGCTTGTCACAAAAAACATGACTGATAGTGTGTTTAACAAACTTAAACTAGCTTTATTAAATGTCAGGTCTTTGGCAGGAAAAACATTTTTAATCAATGATTTTATCACTGAGCACAATCTCGATTTTATGTTTTTAACAGAAATTTGGATTGAACAAAATAACAGTGCAGCTGTTCTTATCGAATCAACCCCTCCCAACTTTAGTGTTATGAGTCAAGAAAGAATGCATAAGAAAGGGGGAGGAGTTGCTATTCTGTTCAATGATTCCCTTCAATGCAGGAAGACATCTTATGGAAACTTTGATTCTTTTGAATATGTGGCCCTTCAGCTGAAATGCTCCTCTCGAGCTCTGTTCCTAAATATCTATAGACCACCCAAATACTGTGCAAGCTTTTTTGATGACTTTACTGAACTGCTGTCTATAGTGTGTATTGACTTTGACCGTCTAGTCATTGTTGGTCATTTTAACATCCATGTTGACAACCCCCAGGACAGAGGGGCTAAAGAACGGTTTTGTGTTCTTGATAGCTATGGACTGACTCAGCATGTGACGGAGCCCACGCACAATAAGGGGCACACTCTGGACTTAATTATCTCAAAGGGTCTGAATATCTCTAAGGTTGTGGTGACTGATGTTGCACTCTCTGATCATTCCTGTGTTTTCTTTGAGAGCTCTATTTCTGTTCACAAAAATGTTCAAAAAGAGATAACCACAAAGCGATATTTAACTAAAAATACTAGGGAAATGTTTACTCAGAATTTTTCTTCCACACTTGCCCCTGCTAACATCTCAGTAAATGAGCTAGTAGATCATTTTAATTCAAAAATTAAAAATGTTATAGATGCCATTGCTCCAACTAAGGTAAAGGAAGTGTCTGGCAAGAAAATATCTCCATGGAGAAAGGCCATGAGCGTGAAAACAGAAAAAAGAGAATGTCGAAAAGCTGAACGCAGGTGGCGAAAAACAAATCTCCAGGTTCACTTTGAAATCTATAAAGAGAGACTTGGCCTTTATCATTTGGAATTGAAAAACGTACGACAATCGTTCTTCTCTGACATCATTACCAAAAACAAAAACAACACACGTGCCTTGTTTGCTACTGTCGACAGACTAACAAACCCCCCAGTGTCAGTAGCCTCTGAATTTCTATCCACCAGTGCGTGCAATGAATTTGCCTCCTTCTTCACTGACAACATTCAGAAAATCAGACAAGCAGTCAGTGCCTCTGCATCAGGAACAGCAAATGTGTTGTCTCTGTGTCCACTTAACATCAATTCAGACATCATGACACAATTCCATCAGATTAATGATAAAAACCTAGAGGACATTATACAACTTCTGAAATCCTCCTCCTGCTGCCTTGATATTATTCCAACAGGATTTTTCAAAGATGTTTTTCATTGCATGGCCTCAGATCTACTTCACATAGTAAACAAATCTCTTTACTCAGGTATTTTTCCACAGGCCCTGAAAACTGCAGTCATTAAACCGCTCTTAAAAAAGAATAATATAGATGCTTCAGTAATGAACAATTACAGGCCCATATCAAACCTGCTATTTCTAGGTAAAATCATTGAAAAAGTAGTTTTTCAACAGTTGAGTAATTTCTTGCATTTAAATAACTGTTTCGATGTGTTCCAGTCAGGCTTTCGTCCAAACCACAGCACTGAGACTGCTCTTGTAAAGGTCTTTAATGACATCCACTTAAACACAGACAGTGGCAGAACTTCAGTGTTAGTATTATTAGATCTCAGTGCTGCGTTTGACACTCTTGACCACAACACATTACTAGACCGACTGGAAAACCGGGTGGGACTTTCGGAAACAGTTCTAAATTGGTTTGAATCCTACTTAAAGGACAGAAAAAACTTTGTTTCTATAGGTAAATACACATCTGAGTTGACAAATATGACATGTGGGGTACCTCAAGGCTCCATCTTGGGGCCTCTTCTCTTTAACATCTACATGCTACCACTGGCTCAGATAATGAAAAACAACAAAATAAGTTACCATAGCTATGCAGATGACACACAAATTTACGTAACAATTTCACCAGGAGACTATGCTCCAATTCAAACACTGAGTAAGAGCATTGAACAAATCAATGACTGGATGTGTCAGAACTTTCTCCAATTAAACAAAGATAAAACTGAGGTAATGGTTTTTGGAGCCAAGTCAGAACGTATAAAAGTTAGCGCTGAGCTTCAGTGTGCAATGTTCAAAACAACAGATAAAGCCAGAAATCTAGGTGTAGTCATGGACTCTGACCTGAGTTTCAACAGTCACATTAAAACAGTTACTAAATCAGCCTACTATCACCTAAAGAATATATCTAGGATTAAAAGACTAATGTCACAGCAGGATTTGGAAAAACGTGTCCATGCTTTTATCTTCAGTAGACTCGACTACTGCAATGGTGTCTTCACAGGTCTCACTAAAAAAAATCTATTAGGAAGCTGCAGCTGATTCAGAACACCGCTGCTCGAGTCCTCACTAACACTAAGAAAGTGGATCACATCACTCCTGTTCTGAAGTCTTTACACTGGCTTCCTGTGTGTCAAAGAATATATTTCAAAATACTGCTGCTGGTTTATAAAGCACTGAATGGTTTAGGCCCAAAATACATTTCTGACCTCCTGCTAAATTATGAACCATCCAGATCTCTCAGGTCTTCAGGGACTGGTCAGCTTTCTGTCCCCAGAGTCAGAACTAAACATGGTAAAGCAGCGTTCAGTTATTATGCTCCAAATATCTGGAACAAACTCCCAGAATCCTGCAGGTCCGCTGCAACTCTGACTACTTTTAAATCCAGGCTGAAGACTTTTCTTTTTGTCGCTGCTTTTAATTAAACTATTCATATCTTAGACTGCACTGTAATTTTTATCCATGTACTTTTTCTTTTAATGTTTAGTTGAACAATTAATATCTTAGACTGCACTGTAACTTTTATCCATGTATTTTTTCTTTTAATGTTTATTTTATTAGCTTTTCTTTTTAATGACTGATTTTAAATGCCATTTTCTTAATGTCTTTCTTTTTTTGTAAAGCTCTTTGAATTGCCTTGTGTTGAAAAGTGCTATATAAATAAACTTGCCTTACCTTGGTCATCCATCAAACATCTGAAAGGCAATAAAAACCAAAAGATCCAATGGAACTACCCGTGAAAAGCTAGACACCTTGTAAAATCATACCCCTGAATCATATAAGCTGTGCCATCATGTTCTTCAAGTATTTACTGCTCAGGCAGAATAGCCCCCTCTCCAGGGAATCTATTAAAGTAGTATTTTTGGAGTTACAGTTGAAAAGAAACTACATTAGTAAAGCAAGATTTTCATAAGTCATAATAATTTATTACATTTTGAGAGCATCACACTTTTAAAATAGGACATACTGCAACTGTAAGCCCATATCATCTTAGCACTTATTGGAAGAGACCCAATTTCACCCAAGCAAAAACTACTGATACCATCTCCTTTGACTTTAAATGTGAACAATTATACATGTGAACTCAATAGATCATTCCACATTTAATTTAGTGAGTTAAACATTTATTTCTGATAAACATCTCTGCTATAGCATGGGCTACAGTATCCAAAGTATTCATTTCAGACCAGATTTCTACGTGAATTGTCCCTTTAAAATCCAGGACATTAATAGTGATACCAAAGTAGTGCATATGTGAACTTCATATTAATTAATGCAATATTAAAAAACCATGTCAGTTCAGTCTATTCCAAACAACGACATACACGAGTGTCAATTAAAACATGATCTCCTTCAGAGGAACAACTTTAATTTCCTACCAACATCTCATGTTTTACACAAACCTATTCAAACACATAAAAAGAAACATTAAGTGAAAGATGTTCAAGGCACTTAGAATTACACGTGAAGGGAATTAACCCGAACAAAACCCCATATACATAAATGACATATTAACACATAAGATCCAGTTGTGAATCGAGACAGATTCAGTGGTTGAAAAGGCACGTTTCCGTCGCAAACAAATGAAGGAGTAAAAAAAACATATCCTAGCAAACATGAGGGGTTGCCATTCATCCATAAAGTGCATAATTTGACCTATTCATAGGCCTCGTTTCAGACCATTTTACAATAGCTGTAGTAATTATACACTTCATTAACTCAAACCCGCAGCTGGTCATTACACACTGCCACATGTGAAACCATTGCCCCTTCTCAAGTGTTCAATATGGCTTTTGAGTATGAGGTTTAATTCTGATAACACGCACATCACAACCAGCCCTTCCTGAAAAGTAGTATAATGGTTCCTCATCTCATTTTCATTTTTGGCCTTGATCTCTAAAATCCGAGCCCGAGTTGTAAAAACGAATGTTTTTTGAACTCCTTTGTCTGTCAGGTCATAACCTGGTTATCAGGTAAATAAACACCACAAGCGGGGCTTTCTTTCTGCATTCCTTGACTGAAGCAGAGGTTCATCCTAAAATAAATAGACGATCGTGTTCCTAAAAGGACAGTTCACCCAAACCACTCCTCTGGGTATCTTGCAATGTATATATTTGTTTTTATCTGCAGAGATGTTGAGGTAGCTGGCCCTTTCTGCTTCTACCAAAATATAATGGAGGTCAGCTACTCAGGATGTTACCCCCGGAAGGCGTTGTTAAGGCGTTATTATTTTAAAGATGGTGGTTCCATTAAAGACAGTCATACCTCTTGATTGACTGTGGATTTCAGTTTTTTTATATGCAATTTTCCAATACTTTGAGCACCAAACAACCATCAGTTCACATAAACTGTATCAAGAAGATTGAAAAACCCTTTTCGTAAAATGGGTGAACTGATCCTTTTATATAGCTGCTTTACAATATCTAGTTAGACCTTGAGGAAACTGATACAATTCCAGGCTCAGTCTACACTTCCTTAACAGGCAAGGTGCCAGAAGAGGTTAAGTGTTGTAAATATTATGGACCTTTTACATTAGCATAATCAATGTCGAAAAGCAAACTAATGCATGATAGTGTACATTACTTAAAAAGCAACAATGGGCCACGTTTCCTTGGGTTCTCTCTCTCTCAGTAGAGTACATTACATCTTTTGTAGTCTCTCGCAGGACTAAACTTTATAAAAAATCCACCATGGCACTAGAACATTAAGGGAATCTCTACTTTTAGATGCAAATCAGAAGTGAAAACAGTGAGGCTTCTCAAGGTCAGTCTATAGCCTCAATGAGAGTCAATGGCAGTACAAAGCAATGACATAATGTATTTGAATCAGAATCCATCCTCTGTGATACCCACCTGGTTACCAATGTGTATCCTGAGACTTCTCATGTATCCAGACTTTTTTTTATTCTGTAGCCACATGGGGGTGTTGTTTCTCTTATTTGAAGAGGGCCACTTGTCACAAGGAAGGAGCCATAAGGCAATGCACATTTGCAGAATCACGTGAGAAAATTCTACGATTGTCACAATTGTGAAAGTCTTCAAGTTATCTTTTTTTTTTGGCCAAGAAGCCAAACTTTGGCTTTGTGACCACAGGATCTGATTGATCCAATCGGACTGACGCAGTTCATGGTTCAAAAGTGAACAAGGAGTACTAAGAGTCCCCATTGAAAGCAGCCATGTAGTTCCAGATAAAGGTTATATTTTGTACAATTTGCACAAGCTCTTCGGAATGAAGTCATGTGTATGGGAAGATACAATGACCCGTAGATGGAATTATAATTGAAGCTGAACCAGCTGTTGTATATACAAATGTTTCCCTTTCAAACATATACACAGATAAAGGCTGCGCCAGATCCAGCTCTAAGAATAGAAGGTAAAACAGGGCCTTCAATCTGGAAGGGGAAATTGGTTTGTGGGAAGAAAAACACAAAAACGGGTGTGGAATAGCTCTAAAACATTAGAAAGGTGGAGTGTTCTGGAGGACGAGATGAGTGAAAAAAGAGAACCTGGGTTTTTGTTATTGTTCCAGCTTCTGGTGGTAAAGCTGAGTGACTTGGATGATCGGAGGGGATGTGCTGTGTGACGGCCCACACCAACACGCAGACGATCGCACCGGCTCGACCTCACACCTGCCACTAGAGAGAGGGAAATCACAGGAGAGGAAATCAATCAGCGTTTGATTCAAATTAAAAATAAACTGATTGTAAGAAAACTGAGAGAACCAAAGAGGAAATGTACAGCAGAGGAGAGTTGTTAATGTGGCCCGACTTGTGGGCCATCCTTGTGGGAGAAGACTAGTACAGTCTTTATGCTACAAAAACAATAGTAAGGATCTGTTACACGGCCAATGAAAACACAGCAGACAGATTTTGCTTCTGACTCTCCCATCTCACAATTCAAATGATTATTTAAGGTCCAAATCTAGGTCTTTATTGTCATATAAAACTAAGTTTGTTGAGAATAAAAACCAACCGACACCGTTTTGGCGAGATTTAGTTCTTACAGTATTTCTGCATGTCAAAACTGAAAAAATATGTAAGGTGGAAGAAAGAAGACCCACAACCCACAGTTCCCAGGGACTGACATCACCACGTGAAAGGGAGGCGCTAACAGCATGTATTAGTAACATAGGATGCAAGGGAGCAGCCACAAGGTTTACACAGCACAGAACACTGCAGAACAATAAATACACACCACGTTGGGGGCTAATCATTTTCAGGACTATCAATTCAAAAAGTAAACATCGACTTTCTCCAATTTAAGAATGCATTTTGTGGCCTGAAGCCCTATCCTTTTAATCTCTGGAGTTGAAACAACTTTCTTTTAAGTTTGTTTCACTAAAGTATTTCTGATTTGCACTGAAAGTGAACTGACCCCATCCCTAATAAACATCCTGTCTGCAAGCACATAAAAGATGGGTTTGTATTTATTTTCAAGTAAAACCTAATACGATACTCAAATGTCATAATATACTGCCAATACAGCATGTGAGCTTGTAAAGCAACATGTGAAAGTAATAGGAACCTGTGCTTTAATATCCTCAAAGCACAAAACAGGACAGATCCATTACAGTGGTAAACAGTGGGATGCATTTTACTGTGAAGAAGGAGACGGTGAGAAGGTATGTAGTGGAAGCCTGCTGAGCTATTCAAAATACCTCACATGTTATGAGGCTGTTTTCAGATAGGGGCGGCACTGCTGTGAAATGTGAGGGCAAATAAAAACACAAAAAGGGAAAGGGAAAAATCAAATGAACAGTTGATGAAAATGATTATCCGTTTACAGACTTCCATGAAATTGATTGAAGGACAAATAAGATAATCATGGGACCACTCAGTGATGAAGGCTGTCATTTGACCCTGAAACTCCTTTAATTAAAACTCAGGGTTGTTGATTCCTTTACATTACCCAACATTATATCCAGCAAATAGGATCAAATTCTGAAAATGAACACTGATATCTTGCCCTGATGTGGATATGTAGATGCTAATCTATTGACTGCACTGTCAGTGGGTAATAAAAAGACATAGATAAAATATAGAATCAACTTGATGATGTCTTTGTACTGTCTGAAGTGATTTTTTTCTGGTAAGGACAAATAAATCAACGCAGTGCAAAAAAAGAGTCTAGAAGCTGGGGAGAACTGATTAATCAAAAGGAAATTAAATTAGTTTTAGCAGTTTATTTTTGGGTTGTTGTTTTACTTATTTGAATACTTTTCCAACTATAATATGTAAGAAACAATCTCTTCCTATGTAATTTGATTGATAAAGAACAGACCCTCCATCTGTGTCACATTAGGTACTTCCAGTTTTTAATTGTGACAAATCCCTTTACTTCCCTAAAAGGCAACTGTCTAATGGAAGAGTGGAGTTTCATTAGAAGCAGCAAGAAAAACAAGTGGAATTCCCCAGAAAGTAATCAACAAACATTAGTGAAACATCAGTGCATTTGTAAAGCGTAGAAAATAATAAACCTGAAACCTAACGCTGTTACGCAGAAAACAAAGTGAAAGCTTTTCCAAAACAGCTATATTTGTTGGGTCAAAAAGCATGAATGAGCCTTGAAACTATTGATGTAGCCTTCCGACCTCCTAACCTTTCCCTTGCCGTCTGAACTGCTTCCTGTTGTTGCTTTTTGAAGTGGGTTTGGTTTCTTTACTTGTGTGGTGTTTGCGTTTTTTTTTACCCAGAGTCGTCAGGCACATCCTGATCCGCCTCTACAGCAGACGATTCCACATCTGGATCTGCGTCTGCGCTGTTCTCACTGCCCTGAGCTGACAGACCACACAGAGACCCTGGGCTCACACACTCACCACTGACACACTCACCACTGACACACACACACACACACACACACACACACACACACACACACACACACACACACACACACACACACACACACACACACACACACACACACACACACACACACACACACACACACACACACACACACACACACACACACACACCACACACACACACACACACACACACACACACACACACACACACACACACACACACACACACACACACACACACACACACACACACACACACACACACACACACACACACACACACACCTTAGTGACTTGCATTAAATGCTATTTCGGAACATGTGTGGATCTCAATTACTACTGTCTACTAGGGGTGTAACAGTCCAAAATTATTCGGTACGGGCCCTTCGGTTCGAAGTGTACCGAACAAATATAACGTTAAATGTAAAAAAATTGAGAACGTGAACAACATTTTGGAAGTAATCTCAGGTGCTGCGTCGCAGGGCTCATCGCGTCATAGAGCGAGTCATTTCATTGGACGAGAGGCATACTATGAGAGCTGGTCACAGGGATGCGTTCAAATTTAGTCAGTAATTTGAGGAACTGTCAAAATGGCGAACGCAGATAAAGTTGAGCTCGAAAATCCTCCAGCATCATTGAAGTCTCCGGTTTGAGAACATTTTGGTTTCGCAGTTACGTACAAGGATGACGGACAAAGACAGGTGGACCGAACCAAAGCTGTTTGTCGGCATTGTTCAACGACAATTGGTTACGCGGCTGGCAATACATCACACTTGCACACTCATTTGAAAAGGCATCGCCCGAACGTGAATATCACCGGTACCAAAAGAAAAAAGACTGAAGTGCAAACCCAACTCCCACTAGCATGAAAGCCTCCACCACTCGCAGAGAGTTCAGATCGAGCTAAAGCTATTACAAACGCCAAATATCCTTATGTTGCCATGTTAGCAAAGCGCTACCTGGCTGTCTGCTACCTCTGTCCCTAGAGAGAGGGTGTTCTCCACAGCAGGAGACATTGTTAGTGCCAGTAGATCTGCCCTTTCAGCAAGCAATGTGGACAAGTTCATCTTTCTTTAAAAAAATGTGAAAATACAATGACAAGCAAGTCATAATGTCAAACTGGCTGCTTAGGAACTAGTACAGTACAGTTCAAATACAGATTATTTCAGTTCATCGAAATACTGCACCTTAATGTTTATTTTATTATATTTTGTATTTATTTGTGTGAATACATTATTCACAGTTTAATAATCATTTAAAAAAAATATATATATTTTGTGATAATTTTTTCTGCTATACCGAAAACGTACCGAACCGAACCGTGACCTAAAAATCGAGGTACGTACCGAACCGAAATGTTTGTGAACCATTACACCCCTACTGTCTACTAAGACGAAACACATGCTGTGAACCAGATGTGACTTTCTTGTCCGTAATTTGTTACATGTGTGTCCAACCCTTATTCCCATTGCATTTATTTATTTCTATGTGTGTGTTGTGCACTGACTTGACGTGCTTCTCCAGTAGCAGGATGGCTTGCTCCCTTTCATCCAGTCTTCTCTTCAGGGAGGCGATCTCCTTCTGTTTTTCCTGCAGCTCCTTCTGGAGACGGTAATTGCTTTCCTCCAGAGTCTCGCAGAACGCCTAGAAAAACAAGCAGCGACAGAGAAAAAAAAGAATTGAAAATATTTGCTGACTGTGGGAATAAAAAGGGACACACTGAGAGACAGAGGAGAAGACAAAATAACAATTCTTGATACTGTACATTAATCTCAAGACATGCGTTAAAACTATTTATAAACAGATTTCAACATGCGTGTTTAAGTGTTTGACTGAGATATGCAGGTGAAATGAAGAGGGTTATTTTATTTGACAACTGAGTGATGTTTACAGCCTGATTTAATGAGCTCGACATTAAGCTACTTTATTTTCTTGTAAAATGAAGTACTGGGTATCAATTTAAATGCTAAAATACGGTGCCCATGCGATACGTGAGGTTTGGCAGTAACCTGAAAACGATACCACATTTTATCTTGAGCACAAATATTTGCATGCATACAAAATGGTCAGTCTTTAAAGCACACAGAGTAATAGAGACATTAAGTTCAAAACAATAACGGCAGCAGAAAGAACAGCAAAGGCATATACAAATATCATGGCAAACGTCTCCAGTTTTTTATTATCAGATGCATAAAAATGTAGGATCTGACTCCCTCCAACAAGGCTGATTAAGTATAGAAAAAGATCATAAAAAACTATTTGAGCAAATAAGACATATAATAAAAAATAAAAGCTACTATACTGGCATATATTTAGACATCAATAAAATACAAAATAAAGTTATTTATATTTGTGGTAATGACGTTATATTTATTATTTGTTTTATGGTAGACAGACATGTCGTAATATGTATATTTGCGGCATTTACTATCTCCTAAAAATTGCTGTCTACATGACATTTATATTATATTTTAGTATACAGTAAAAAACGATAAGGTGGTATAGTGAATCCGTGGTGCACAAGCTAAGTTTCAGAATATCCATATTATAATAATAATAATAATACGTTTATTTATTGAAACTCCAATGCCTGCAGAGGAAGAGCCGCTGTCTTGCAGCATTGGTCAGAGTGTCCGTGTGGCGTCTCTGAGCTTTAAGGGCACAATGGTGTTGAATACAGTAAGTAAACAGATATGTGTCCATCTGGTCCAGGTCGGAGAGGTCCGTGTGGCGGGCGAGAGTGAAGGCGTCATTCTTACTGCCCAGTGGGCAAATTGTGTCCAGTGTTTCAAGGAAAGAAGGAGCTGATGAGAGGAAAGAGATCGAAGCACTTCCTGATGCTGGAAGTAAGTGCTACAGCGCTGCAGTTGTTTAGGACTTGTTTTAGGACAGGGAATGAGCAGTCTCCTTGAAACTTGGGCTGCCTTGAAGGGTTTAATCCTTTTAAAATATCTCCACATATCTGCCATGGGAAGTTAGTCTCAAACCGCGCATAGAATGTCTTTGGTTAATCTTGGGGGGATGCAGACATTACCTCAGTCTTATAGGAATGGCACGGACTTCCTTGTGAACAAAGGGTTTTTGCAGTGAGTGCACAGAATAATAAATGTAACTCTATACAGCACCTCAAAACACCAGACCGGTGCAACGTATTTATTTTCCCACGCAGCTACCTTTCTTTCTTCCCAAGCTTCCAAATTAATGTGGTTTTTTTCCAGCAAGGTGGAGTTATTATAATCTCATATATAAATATTTATGACTATTATACCTTAAATTCAAATAGGCGAAAATACTAAATACTTGCCTGTGAGTATTTGCATCCAAACTATTTATGCTGGCAGCGATGTGAACGTGTGATAGTTTCAATATTTGTTCAATAAAAGGTTCAGAAATGAATGCAATGGCAGAGGACCAACTGCCAGGATACTTTTGACCCAGAGAAGAGAATGATGTTGCTTTTCTGCAAAACATGTAAGACTATTATTAAGAACATATTAACATGCCGATTAATCCCACGTTGAAAAATAACTAGCGTGTAAAGGCTTTAAGGTTTAAAAAAAAGCATTCTCTATACTTCCTGCATGGACCAAACTCATTCAGTTTTCAAGCTACTGTATTCATTATCAATCCCTAGCTTTTCTAAAAGGCCTTGAAGTAGCATGGATAGCAGCACAGACAACACATTAACATGTATTTGCACACTTACTCTGCTTTCCTCGAGACTATCGAAAGGCCCAGGTGGGTCATCCAGACACAGAAACTCTCTCACTGCCTGGCTGTCAAGAAGAACAGATAACAGAAATAAATACTTAAACAAAAAAAAGTAGGAGTTGTTGATTATTGGGCGACACAAAAAGGCTGAATGATTCCATTTAAACATAAGAATTGCAGCGTGATCATGTGACATACGAGTTGGCAATGTCCTTGTGTGCAACCAGGTTTTGCAAAAAGGCCTGTAGTCCTAGCTGTCTGTCTTCCAGGAAGTCTGTGTCATAGTTGTCTTTGAACCACCGCTTGGGAGGCAGCGAGAGGCGGAAACCTGGAAACATATCCTTAAGCTAAAACAGAAACAAACAGAGAGGAATTAGTATCACATGATCTCTACAATATTGTTCCAGCAGGATAGTTTGAAAAAAATGCACTGTTTGAGACAATATGAGGTTATTGATATGCATTGAAGTGATGCAGGGACAAGAGACGAAGATAAATAGTACATGTAGCTTTTCTCTGTCACTATTTATTTAGAATGACTTGCCTTGATCAAAGTAATAAAGCAAGGCTGCTATCCTCCTATTGTTATCCTTTATTAGAAAACCACATTGTAATAAAAATGTGCATATTGTCCCATGTAGTACAAGCTTAAAAGTCACAGGTTCTTCATTGAAATGTATGTATGCACCATGAACACTAAAGCAAATTCCTTGTGCGTAAACCTACTTAGCAATAAACCTTATTCTTACTGGGATTTTTTTACAATTTTGATGGCTAAGAAGAAGTTGCTGGCAATGACCCTTTTAGATCTCATTCCAACAATGCTCTTACAATTATGTATAACAACAGAAATATATCTGAAATGTGCATTTCAGTGTCTAACGCAGAAGTAGGAGTAAACACATCAAATACCAATAATTGGGGGTTTTCCCCATTTACTATATATTGTTATGTAGGTTTGTGTGCATGTAAATGGTCTGCAAAGGCTTAAATCCCTCCAGAGGGATCGTCTCTCAAAACAAATATGAACTTAAAAAAATTGAGCATAATATGTCCTGTTTTAGAAAATACAGTAATTGTGAAGAAACAAGTGTCTGTACCTCTGGATCACCAGTGAATGGCATTCTTTCCTCACAAACCCATAGTCAGAAATGTCCTCTAATGATAAAACTTGCTTGAGGTCAGTTTGCTCAACAAGAGGTGTGTAAAAGGTCTGTGTCTGATGAATAGCACATGCCTACTTGTTTTCACATTAGTAGCCTGAACCATGTGTATATACGAAGAGTAACGCATGTGTGTTAGCAGCTCATAATCCACATTATACATAAAATAAATCATTGTTAATTCTGTTTCAAATTTGTTTCGTTTTTCCTTTAAAAAGTAACCTATAAAAATAATGTTAAAGTACGGGATTGATAAGCAGTATTTGTAATTAACGCATTATTTTCCTCAATTACATGTGCGTGTTTGGCAATGTACGCAGAAGGCAAGTCCTCTTAAATTACATTGAGTGCTTTTTGCAGCGCTTCTAGATAAATACACATAGAAATATCATCCAAATGTTTATGTGACACACTGACATTTCGAAACACTTAAACGTAGCCTCGTTACGGTACACGCACGGCATAAGGCCATCAAACACAGCATAATCGTTACAGCTGCAACAGCGGTAATTAAAGTTTAAAAGTCTCAAATGCTACAACTACGGTCACAAACTGGATGAATGTGACGTATTTTGTTAAAGGAGGATGAAAGCGTAATTAAGGAGCACTATTGGAGTGACTTTGATGGTTATTGGACTCAGGATTCATTCATTTGGATTCCCGCTGTATGAAGAAATTAAAGCCCCTGTCACACTGTCCCGAAATTGACACCCGATGGACACACGAATATGGAATTGTGAATTTCGCACGAAGATGGCCCCGAACCACACACGAAGGCAACATTTACATTACATTTAAGACATACAACTGCAATGAAAGTACCAAAAACAATGATGTTACAGTACTATGACACTGTACTGATATCTTCAGACTTTGTTCTTTACTTTATCCGTCTTTATATGTAGAAAATATTACGTTTTCTCCGTAATGTTGTTTCCATAACAACAACAACTTCCTGTCAACTGTCCTTCAAAATAATATATTATATCCTTTTTAGTTTCACAGAACACAAATTGGGTTATTTCCATAATATGTTTACATGATTTTGTTGTGCAATAAAACAACCCGATAAAGGAAATGTTCAAATTCGGCTGTGATCGTAGCAACATCGGGCCATTCGTGAGGGCATCTTAAGCCATCGTATGACCACCGGTGGAGTTTCTCAGGCTCCGGCAGCAACTTCGTGAGCGGTGGCAAAATCTTTGGCATGCCAAAAAATTGCCGAAGGACCTTACGAAGGTTCATTTTCGTGTTGAATTTGTGTGTGAATGTTGCCCTTCGTACGGCCATCGTGAGGGCATCTTGTTATCATCGGTACCATCGGGCATTCGCCCCGATCAGAGTGAGGGCGAATGCCCGATGGCACCGATGATAACACGAAGATGACACGATTTGACAAGATGCCCTCACGAGTGCCTTACGAAGTTGCCGCTCACGAAGTTGCTGCCGGAGCCTGAGAAACTCCACCGGCGGTCATACGATGGCTTATACCTCATTCACACCAACGGTGTTTCAGGGCCGGTTCGGAGCTGGAGCTTGAAAAGCACCGGGTTTTCCTGTTCACACAGCAGCGGAGCAGCCTCTTAGCTCCGGAATCCGGTTTGTTTCAAGCACCAAAATGTTTTCCGGCCAGAGCAAAAACACCGCATACGTCACGCTTACGTCGAGGCGGGGGCAAGGGCGGGATCAACTCCTGAACAACAACAAAAAGCCCGCGTATTATCCAGTTTATACACAACGATGGAGAAACTTAACAAGCAGCAGTGGTCCACTGAAGAGACCAGCTACCTACTGGGAATCTGGTCTTCCGAAGAGGTACAGAGGAAGCTGGAGCACAATCGGCCATTGTTGTTGTTGTCGGTGTCAGCTGTGAGGGGTTTCCGCGCGGTTTGGCTTTATGAAGCAGGCACGCAAACGGTTACATCATGATGCAAACGATGAGGCAATGACGCAGCACCAGTCGGACTCTGGGCGGTGTGAAAAGAGCCGGAGCTAAACCGAAGAACCGGTTCTGAACCTGAAAAGCTCTAGCACGGAGCTTGAACCGGAGTTGCGTTGGTGTGAATGAGGTATGAGATGCCCTCACGAATGGCCCGATGTTGCTACGATCACAGCCGAATTTGAACATTTCCTTTATCGTGTGTCCATCGGGTGTCAATTTCGGGACAGTGTGACAGGGGCTTAAAGGACGGCGCGGAAGTGGAAACAATTCACAAAGGGATTAAACTGTTAAAACACATGCTCAAAGTAAGCCGGATTTTGCCAATGTGGATTCAAAAGTCGTAAATAATCTACAAAATGAAGGAGACCGATCTGATTGGAGCAACTGACGAATAATCCAACTAAAACCGGCATGGACAATGACTATGTTTTAAAAATGCGCTTATCCAGAAAAGCCCAGTTTGGACAATTTACGGGCAGAAGAAACATTTCTATTAAAGAAAGAATTATACATTTCTGTCTTTTTATGCCTTTAATAGCTACTAACTTGAATTTTTATTTAAATTAATGAATCAATTATTTTTTATATGTTATTGTAATGTAGAGACAAGGCCTTTAGTGACAATCATGTATTGCGTTACAAAAAAGTCTAAATATGATATTTGGCCTCAAATCATCTGAGGCCTGGCGCCCCCCCCCTGCAATATTTGGCGCCCCCCAGGTTGGGAACCACTGGTCTAATGGATAGTGAGGTGGGCTGATGATCGGAAGGTTACGAGTTCAAATCCTGCCTGGAACACCACTTGCCCTTGAGTAAGGCACTTAGCCCTCGGTTACTCCAGGGAGAATGTCCCTGTAATTGGTAATTGTAAGTCGCTTTGGAATAAGGCGTCTGCTAAATACCTAAATTGTAAATTATATTTTTTGGGAGAATAAACCCCACAGATCCTCAACTCTGGTGTGTCTCACTCATTAACAACGCAACACAGAGCAACAAGAACGTTGTCTACAGTAGCCATGAACTCGCATGTATTATCTTATTTGATAACCCAAATTGGTTAAGGGGCCTTTGGCTTTTCTTGCCGAATCAAATTCTGTGGGAAACACTGCTGTTCCCCTTGTTGAAAACATTCTTGCCTGGGGTTACTGTTTATGAATCAGTCAATTGTGCTTTTCTGTAATCAATATTTTACGGGCTTACAAAGATCATAGAATGCTTTTTTGTTACAGCTTTCCACCCGTTATCTTCTCTTGTTGTAGATAATTTTCCTTCACAAAGTATCACATGGCTCTTCCCTTTTGTAATCTGTGACCAAACTGTCCTTTCCGAAACCACGAGAGACCTGCACCCCTAGTTGGCTCTGGCCTGTTGGCTATTTGGGAACAGAAGCCTTCTTTGTGAAGCTCTGATTAGTTCCACAGTGCAACTCAAAAACAAAAGAAGATATGCTGAAAGCAATACTTTAATGGGTAAAAAACTGTCTGCAAAAAGAACAAAATTAAGCTTCAGATAGGCTTGATTTGGGAGAGGTCATACTTTCCACATAGACGTGCAAACATATGTAAATACAACACACCCAAACATACCTTGTCGTTGAGTCTGGAGAAGTCTGTGTACCTTCGAAAGACAACCCAGCTCTCATCTGCAGTCTTTCTTACCAGAACTTTAAAGACCTGCAGCAAAGAAAAAAAGTCTTGTTTATGACTACAAAAGTATAGAGTTCTTGCATTTTGCTAAGCGCATGTTGATTCTTTGTTTCAAATTAATAATGTGTGTTGAGTAAATATTGACATTACACTTTTTTATCTTTAGTATGCATCATTCTGTGTGCTTGTCCTCAATGAGCATGTGTTTGCTCATGTGTGTATCCTGCCACTGGAAACTTAAACAAACTGATCAAATGTGCTGCTAATCTAAAAGTCCTTATAGGCTTAAAAAAAACGTAGCATTTTAACATAGCTGGAGAGTTGTGCGACAGATATAAATAATCAAAAAGGCTGTCTTGATGCAGGCTTGTTTTCTGGTTTCATACCGTGAATTTAGCCCTCTCCTCCATGACCTCATACCCCAGTAAAGTGGGAGTAATAGGCCTGTCCTCGTCTAGCTGACTTTGAGCAGGATCTGATATGGAGCGGGGACAGCTGGAGTACTCTATGGAGGGCTCCAGAGTGCCGTTCACCCTGGCCCGCGTGACAGGGCTCTGGGAGGGTGGTGGTGTCCCGCTCCGGCTGCCGCAGCGTGAGTGGCGCTGGGAACCTAACAATCCACATTCTCTTTCGTTGTTCTCCCCGGCCAAACTGTTTGAGACGCTGCCCAGAGACGAAGCTCGCTGTGGTCGTCTCAGCTTTCCGTTAACTCCTGACAAGGCTCTGCCCATCGGCACAGGTACAGGCACAAAGGGTGATGCCATCCTTCTGAGCTGCGTGCTCCTGCCCCGCCACAGCAGTAGTCAACAAGGCTCTTCACACTGACCTTGCTTTGCTCCGTTGCCACTGTGTGAGGAAGTGCAGCAGCCCTCGCCCTGAGAAGCTGATGAAGTCTCTGAGCACCCTGCACAACAAAGAAAGGAATCATTCGGTATGTTTATTGTATTTATCATGATCAAAATGAACTTCCCTTAACACAGCCTGCATAAATGGGAAACTCTGATTCCCTTTAATCCCAATATTAAAGAAAGGATCTGTCAGCCAACATCATCCTGAAATAAGGGTACCAGACTGTGAGGGCAGATGAATTATTGACATGTCATTTATCATTTATGGGTTTGTGCATTATGTGTAAAATTCATGACGGAAAAACCCTGTGAAGATCTGTAGGTAAACAGTCTTTCAGATCGTCTTGTCAATTGATTAGCTTTTATGCATTTGTTCCATTAGAAGCCCGACCACTCCCACCTGCAATGCTGCAAAAGGGATGGAGTCAGTAGCTTTGGTTTGAGATAAAGAAAGAGGAACCTGCGTGTTGGTTTTCGTGCAAGAGCAGGCCTGGGATAGATTGCTGATCTTACTGAGAGGCTGTCAGTTACCTGTCAAATGATTTAGCATAAATTCCGCATCAGTGGAGCTGTTAAAAGCCAGCCCTGTGTCTCTGGATGAGTATAAATTATAAAAAACACTAACACAATATTACACATGTCATAGGTGTTAATAATGCCAAAATAAAAACGTCATATCGTGGCCGGAGAACAAAAGGAAGAAGCATATGGAAACTATGAATATATAATTAAAAGACTGAATGGTAAAAGGAGTTAACAGAATTAAAAAGGTTACATTTATTGCTCATGCTGCTGACTCAGTCTTGACTGCAGCTATTAAAAAGAACACATGACGACAGAGCTTGGACCAGGGCCAGCATGACAACAAAACGTTGGCTATCTGATATCTTACTTTAACTATACTTTTAAGCTGCTGTTGACGTAGGTAGCGTTTGGGAGGGAACGTTAGCAAGCAAGCTAACTAAACGACGACTAATGACGTCCTGAAAACTACGAACTCCGTCACCAAAATGTTGTAATGTAACGCTAGTATTTGTATAACAGCGCTGCTTCTCGGTTAACATGAGGCACAACGTGTAGCCAAAATGGTCAATAATACCGTTAAGCTCTGTAATGTAGTAAATACTGAAAAAAGAAGAAGAAAATCACAACTTAAGTCACGTCAACAGCTACTGCTAACGCTAGCAGCCCTACTAACCTTAACGGTTGCTTGCGATTCACACCCGCAAAAAGTGAATGCTAACACACATTGTGTTTAAAACGAAAGCTTTAAAACGCTGAATTATAGTACACTCATGCCTTATCTAGAAGCAATTCACAATAGTCGGTTGAAAGTTTTCTTTAATTTGGTTTCAGGTATGTTGACACGCTAAATAGACATCTTTTTGGACGTCGTTTGGTGTGTCCTCCACACCATTGAGAGAACCTGGGATATAAGGCTATCATTGCCTTCACGTTAGCTAGTAAGCTAGGACAGCCTATGTGCACAAAGCTGACGCATGATGACACCGGTTTTAGCTTACCGTCCGTCCCCTTCAGAAAGTAAGGATATTATATACATAAAGCCTGATGTCTTGATATCCTGTTGCTGTTAATCCTCTGCAATATCTCCTCTCATGTCTTCCTCATGTTTACTCGCCTGGATTCTGACCAAGACAGGTACAGTGCTTTAAGATAGCCACTGGAGGGCGCTGTAGGATACATAATACTGAAGGTGAAACGACTTGAATCCAATAAAAACCCATTCATTATTGCATCCATCCATCTCTCTATATTTGTTATGGAACTGTGGAGTGTCTGTGGTTAGCACAAAACTATGAGGGGCCGTACAGGCCGTAATTCATACTGGTCCTCTCACGCACATACATTCTCCTTTTACATACATATATGTTCACTCTTACATACATACATTCTCCTTTTACATACATACATTTTCACTCTTACATACATACATTCTCCTTTTACATACATATATTTTATAATATGCATGTCTGAAGAGAATCGGCACAGGTTCTCAGGTATGCAAGAGAAGAATGTATGTATGTGTGAAGACAATATATGTATGTGAGAGAAGAATGTATGTATGTGTGAGAGAAAGTATAGTGGAAACGGAAGGAGTATGGTTGAAACGGAAGGCAGGTCATTCTTGCGCTGTGATTGGCTCAGAAGGTCGAGCGGGGCGGGCTCATGTTCAGAACTTCTGATTCAAATCAACATGATGGAGGGAGAGGGTTAGGGTTAGATGACTCCGTGTATCTACGGACCACTTGCTTTTCTTTATTAAACAAGTAAACGGAAGAGTGTCTCCGAGGCGTTTTTGCTTTTAGTTTTTACTTTACTAAATGGTCTAATGGTCATTGTAGCGAGGGGGGGGGGGGGGCGCGATACTCGCGGAAGTGATTTCAAAACAAAAGCACTCGTTTGCTTGGAACGTTGAACATAATTATAAACAAGGGGAAACAAGGTGAATTTAGCGATCACAACGAAAACGGCCAAGACACACATTGAGCCCAGAAAATGAATGTTATTAAGGCTGTAAATATAATAAGCATGTGTCTAAAATGGACAACATTGTTAGGAGATTTAAACTATACAGCGATTCTGCACTGCGGTCACTCAGCCGTCTCTCGCGTTTGTCTTTTCAAATCAGCTGCTCTTCATATTTTACAAATATTTTTTACTGAAAGTTCTTAATAAAACTGACACTGTTGGACTCGAGGGGAGAAGAATACATGGACAACATTGTTAGGAGATTTAAACTATACAGAGAGCCGTTTTTTTCAAATCAGTAGCTCTTCATTTTCTTTTTACAAATATATTTTACCACAAGTTCTTCATAAAACTGACACTGTTGGACTCGGTACTAGTTTGACTGCTACTAACAATACATTGAAGTACTTTTACTGTGTACTTTGTGAGAAATACTCTGTCAAAGTCCCCTCCATATAGCACATAATCTAATGCATCAGTCCGTCCCAGGCGGGAGTTTATAAACCAAAAAGTAACCGCCCTTACGGCACGCTCTGATAAGTAAAGCGAACGCACCCGCAAGGACACCTGGCCAGGGATGTGACAGTTTCAGGGGTTGACAAAAATGTTCCTTAAAACCCCTAATGCTTGCTGCAATCTAAGCGATTCATCTCCCTCCATCATGTTATGTTGATTTGAAATCAGAAGTTCTGAACATGAGCCCGCCCCGCTCGACCTTCTGAGCCAATCACAGCGCAAGAATGACCTGCCTTCCGTTTCAATCATACTCCTTCCGTTTCCACTATACTTTCTCTCTCACATACATACATTCTTCTCTCACATACATATATTGTCTTCACACATACATACATTCTTCACTTGCATACATATATTCTCTTCAGACATGCATATTATAAAATATATGTATGTAAAAGGAGAATGTATGTATGTAACAGTGAAAATATATGTATGTAAAAGGAGAATGTATGTGCGTGAGAGGACCAGTATGAATTATGGCCTGTACGGCCCCTCATACAAAACACACCCATGTACACCTTGTAGCCAAAACATAGGGTGGGTGTGTCTTTTTTGCTGATGGGTGTGATCTATACTTTCTCAGTTGTTGCCAGGCCTACATAACTTGGGTGTGTCAGATAAAAAATGTGAATCATTCCACACCACTTGATCCCCTGAAGAAGAACCTCAGTCAGTAAGTTGATGTTCCTTTTTGCAATTTAATTTAGTTGATTTTGTTGAAAATGATTGTAAAGGATAACAGCGGTCAACCAGGTTAATGCCACTAACAGTTCCTGATTTACAGCATTCCCTTTTCACCTTGTTCTCAAAGGCAATAGGTGTAGACTATTGATGCAATACTAGGTACTTGATCAAGTACCTAATATGATTTATATTTACCGGTAAGTGACAAGATTTTGAAATAGGATTTAGAACAATAGAGATTTGTCTGCACGTCTGGGGAAGGAAGAGCATTTTTGGGTAACAGTGCCGAGCTGTAAAATAAAACACAATTGCAAAAGCTGCTAAAAATTGATGACATACACCAATTATAAAGTTGGCAACTCTTACCTCTTATCAGGCTAAAAAAGACTGATTTATATAAATGTAAAGCTTTTATTTAAAGCTTTTTTATTTCACATAATGGCTCAACCTTATCTAAACAGGTAAGTGCAAGTATTCACAGAAAGGTATGCTACAGTGTATAATGCTGTGATTTATGTTCTGCTCTGTATCAGACACAATGCCGACATCAGCCCCATCCAAGGTATCCAAGGCCAACACCACCTTCGCTCTGGACCTTTTCAAAAAGCTCAGTGATGCCGACAAGACCGCAAATATCTTCTACTCCCCCTTCAGCATCTCTTCAGCCCTGGCTATGGTGATGCTGGGGACCAGGTGCAAAACATCTGCACAGATGTCAGAGGTACAGTATACACACACACACACACACACACTCACATTGTGAAAATGAACATGAAAATATTTTAGTTCTCGTGCTAACACACCCATTTGGAAGTGTTTCTACTGTACAGGCACGCATTCAAATGTCGTTACAAGTGGATTGATGATGGTGTTGGAATTTCTCAATCGTATTATTGTATGAAGAAAAATAGGCCTGGGTTTGGGTTATAAGCTTCATCATGTGCACAGGTTTTATTCTTAATAAAAGAAAATTCATTCTCCAATCAATGTTAAAAGCATTGGTTTAAGGACTTGTTTTTAGACAAAGAATGATATGAGAGTTGATATGAGGTGAATTCCTACTGGGAGAACTTGAAGAGTCAGGGTGTGGTAGAGAAAGTGCCTGCACATGCAATAATAACTCTTTCTGTCTCCCAGCAACAGTAAGAAAGGGCAGGGATCTGTTTAATCTTGCCTTGGGTTACAGGGAGAGGAGTACTTAATTGAGTTAGATACGAATATTTTCCATTTATAAAACTCAATTACACATCTAAAAAGGATAAAAACTATGAAGTATAACTTGTATGCACC